GCCAAGGGGAGTTGGTCATCCCTTTACCTCTTTTTCTTGAGGAATGACACAAACTGTGTTAGAACAAGTGCTCTGATGTTGGATTATATGAAACTGCTTCTACTTGTCCATTTTTAATCTTAAAGAAATAGCAGTTTCATATAAATTTAACATAAATATTACAACTTCTTTCATTCTTTGGAGATCCATAAAAATAAACATAACCCACCAACTAGAGTTAACTGTCAGCAAGCACAGAGGATGCTGAGCCCCCAGAGATGAAATTCTTTATTTCACTGTTACCAAAAGTGAGTTCACAAGGTACTTCTACGCACCCATCTGACTGCGTATCTACCATCTAAAAAGAACTGCAACTGGAACGAGCAAATGTCAAGTACAAAACAAGTGAACAGAGGCCCAGCAGGCTGACTGCACATTAAAGAGTGCAGGCTTTGCACGGCCCTCCATGCACCTCCCCTTAACTGCTCCCAATTATGCACAAAATGCAGTCCTTTCACAAGCTTTTAGAAAGTTTTTTATTGGTTACAATTATGTAAAATGTATCATTTAAATTCTCTCCTAGTTATTAAGTGTTTGCAGCAACAGCATAAAAATATCTTTTTTCATACATCTGATGAGCCCCAATGATTTCAATGCTGGAAGAGGAAAAACAGCAAACACCACTCTTAGCTTGTCTATAATTAACCTCTCTCTCTCTCTCTGTCTCTCTCAAGGCTACATTGGTTAAAATCAATGGACAACCCCTTTTGTATGCCAAATTATAAATTTTAATGTTTTCATTAGAATAGTCTTTTATAGCACTCTCCAACAAGAAACAATAAAATAACTAACAGCAAACTTCAATATAGGAACACTCTCCAGATTAACAACTCAAACAAAAAATGTAAAATGTAGATCACATATAATACAATTGAAGCGTCCAAAACAATTTAAATAATTTTAAATATTTTATTTTTAAACTGCTACAAATGCTTTATACAATATTTCAACATAAAGTCCCCATAACAGAAATGTAACAAAATGGGAATGATAGTGAAAGGGTTAAAGTGGCATAAATTCACCAAATATTAAACTACAAATTTTAAGAGGTAGATTACTTTTAAAGTTGAGAACAAAAACAGTATGAATAAAACCTAGCCATTTTCCACCAACTCAGTCATTAATCAGGTGGGGGGGGGGCAGAAAAATGCATGGAGAAATGATACTCATAGTCATAGTCATAGGCAGAGGCCAATTTGTTGCCTTTAATCTCTATTAGAGACTCAAGTGTAAAACCTGGTATGTAAATTCATTTCTACTTCTGTGTAGACATACATCTTATATGCCTGGGATGCACCCTGTGCATTGACATATTGCTACATAGTCTCTGATAATATATAATAGTTATAAATTAGTGCCAGATAATAATTTGAGAAGATAATGTCCATTTGGATATACAAACATGACATTGTAAGAGGCATTAAAAAAGTCCATATCCAATCTGGTTTCCTCTCCATTATGCTGGCAATCTGCTTGTGATTTAAAAACAAAAACAGAGCAAGAGATCAGCTAAATTGCCTCTCTCTGTCTGTAATCCATTTAAAAGAAAGGCATCAAGAGCTGGTAAGTGAGCAAAACATTTTAAATGAGTGCATCTGAATTTGTCATCCCTGAAATCTACAACTACTGCTAAAACAGAGAACTTGCTTTGCAAGGTTAAGTTCAAATCATTCCTTTCTCTCCTATGTGTCAAAACAAGGGCTACACTCAGATCTGAGTTACCAGTCCCGTGACGAGGAGCCAGTTCATCTAGCCCGTCTTACAGTGCCCTCCTCTTTGGATCTCAATCACCCAGGAGCCCAGCACACAGGTTGGGCACCACCGAAGAAGCAGATGCCTGACTCTAAGCCTGCCGGCAATCAGTTGTGTGTTAGGATTTTTGAGTCAGCTTCAACTGGTCTTGCAAGCTTGGTAGATTTCGTATCCTTTGCCGTAGTGCTTATCCTAAGTTGAGCATGCAATATCTTTTAGTCAATTAAAGTTTGTTTTGTTTTGGGGGCTTTTCTACAGGAAGTTCCTAGAAAATAAGAAAACTGAAGATAAATGACAACATAACATAACATAACCTTGTATGAATTGACCATGTTAAAGAAAAAGGTGAGTAGACCATAAGACAAATGTTGTTAAGACAGCAACACATAAATGACTCTGAAGGTACTTAGGAACTCAAGTGTCCCACAAAGAAGACACGGGAGGAACTACATGTAGGTCCATTTCCTAGTAGGTGTAGCAGACACAGAGACATGGGAAATCAGCATTTTATTTATTTATTTTTTTATCAATTCATGGTAAATGGAAAAACTTGGTTTAGAATTTCATTTTTTTTCTATCTTTAAATTTTCTTGAGTGGCTGCAAAGGAACTCAGTTAAAAAAAATTGCTCTAAAAGGGGCATTAAAGAATGTAAAACACCTTGAGATTTACCAAGGTGAAAGATGGCTAAGAGGTAAGTAGACAATCTTTCCTTCCCTTTGTGTCATACTGGAGCCTGGGAAAATGAACCCTCAGCATCAGATCTAAATGCAGCCCCTCAAAAAGCCATAGCTAGGCTCTGACTACTAACTTTGGGGGGATGAGTGGGGCGGGTGTCACTGTATTAAGAGCTGCACAGGACCATCTGAAAGATGAGTGGCATGCCTGGTTTCCTTTGCTGCTCTGTCCTAAGAAAAAAAATTGGAGCATGTGTCTTTTTTTACACCCTGACTAGCACCATGGCTTGTGCTCCAGGAAATTACCAACTAGCAAACTGCTGAGCCTTCGGTGTTAATGGAAACTCAGACTACATCCACATGGCTAACTGCAAGCACATACTTGAATCCTTAACTGGAATTCAAATGTGAAACGTCTGCGTGTTGGGGACTAGTTCTCACACACAATTTGTTGTAAAGAAATACACAGGAAAGGATGCGGTACCCGTTCTGTGATTAGTCTCCATGTACGCGACAGGGTAAAGAAAGCAAAATCCAGAAGAGAAAGTGAAAGTGAGCAGTATTTGTGAACATGTAATTGTGTCATGAATCATCCCTAAAGAAAACTTAGAAGTAGAAATACACTAAAACTGGAAGACCACTGTAATTCAAACAACTCCTTATCAATGTCATACAAGGAATATGTACTGAGGCTGAGGCCTACTCTGGGACAGCCCTGGGCGAGACATTAACACTAATATCATACTCTCCCGGGATCTGAGTTTAGGAATCCTGGTTTTGCACAAAACTCCCTATGAGGTACTAAGAAGACCAAAACAAACACTGAAGAAATGCCCACTTTTGTGTCCAGTCAAAATATGATGTCTCACTGAACAATTGTTTTTTAATTCCCCAAAACACATCACAAGTTTATGGTCACTTGGCAAGTAGACCCCTGGGTGATACCCCCATGTCCTACAGATGTGTCTACAGCACAGTTCCAAAGACTCACACAAGGAGGAATGGCTACCCTGGGTGCCTGCTGCCACCATCTACCAGTTAGGACACCACCAGTGTTTTCTTATCTGTTTTTCTGTGCCGATGAAAGGTGTTCACAGGGCTAACCTCCAAGACACCACCTATGCAAGTGCTCTGGCCAGAGACTGAATGTTGATCAGAGCTATAGCAACTGAATATTTAATACATTTATAAAGTAGCTTTTTAAAACTCTAATCCTTTAATCCTACAGTAAATCATTCAAATCAGCCTTGGCTACTGATTCTTCTTTACATCTTTCTTTAGCCACAATTTAAGGCACACCAGCACCAAGAATTCTACCTGATCAATTATGCAGTGATAATGCATAATTGTGCACTATGACCTCATGCAGATGTCCTCATGACCTCTCCAAAATAGCAGTCACTCCACAGTTATCTCTAATTCTGCTTGCTTAAAGCAGCAAAGAACTTTCAGACACCAAAAGCTATAGCCATGAAAGTCAGGTCAGGCAGCTTACTCTGAGAAGACAAGATTTAGAAGTATTTTGTAGAAATACTATCTGATGACGAATAATTTCACAGGAGATTGACCTATAGGAATTACTCAGGAAACGGCAGGAATGCCAAGGATACACACCAACTTAGGATATGGGACTTAGAAAGTTTGAGAAGTCAATGTAACGAATTTAACTACTGCCATATCCTTCTGTCGGGCACTAAGTACAGTTCCTAACACAGGGAGAACATGCATGAATGCAGTAAAGTCAACTCTAATCTAAGATGAATCCCTACATAATTACTGGGAAAACAAAGGCATAGACACATGAGGTGGTCTCGCCCTGGGTTATCACATGTGCCTGAAAGACCCCAGGGGGTCTCTGCCTTGCTACAGGGTTCTAAGCCCCCTCTCCTACTCTTCTTCCCCTTTGGAACCTGGCTTGCTTATTATCCTATGACTGGAGATTGTGGGCAGGGACATACAACATTTTTTTAAAAAAATATTTTGTTTAACCAATGCAACAAGTTGTTAAAATTAAAACACCGGCAATCAAAGAAAGCACAAATAATGAAAGCAGTCTTAGTTACTATACCTATGCTGAAGTCACAAAAGTATTAAACAGGATTGCAACATAGTTTACTAATGAACTCAGTGATCCTAAGAAATGATCTATGATCAGGAAATAATACAACTGACACTGAAGTATTAATAACCAAGATATGAGGAGATTTGAGATAATCTCATCTTTTCCTATAGAGTTATTTTGAGAGCTTTTCCAGGGTTTCAAATTCAATTCACACCTGGTCCTATTAAAGAAATGGTACCACTTTGTGAGTCCTATGTCTGAAATAAAAACTATTTATTCATCTCTACAGCAGCCGAAGCAGTAACCCTTGATGCCTACAATTTATGCAACAGCTATTTCCTTTAAATGCTGAGATCAAAATTTTACTGGAAAGGAAGAAAAGATACAAACAAACAAACAACAACAACAAAAAAAACCCTGGGCAAGGACACAGCTGTCTTGCGCCTTTCCCTCCCACGAGCTGGAGCTTACCTGAAGTCCTTCAGCTCCTGCTTGGCGCTGCCGTCCTCTCTCTTGCTCTCACTCAGGTCAGCAGCAGCTGCCAGCTGAAGGCTTCGGGTGACTGGCCCCCCACTCCGCTCTCTGGATTTTACATTGAACCGGTCTGTTCTTTTCTTGCTCGCCAGGGTGGACTTGCTTTGTAGAACAGCTTTGCTCTTCTGCACCCTCACGTGCAGGCTCCGGGAGGTTTTGCTCGAGAGCTGGGCAGTATGATTCTTGGCCACAGCTTTGGGTTTTTTCCCATCAACATGAGTTATTTTGGCCATTCTTATCGGGCTGGAGTTCCTTAAAGAGGAGGAGCTTGGTTTTTTGGACTTAACTGAAGCTGCAAATTTGACATTCTGCTTGGACCTGAAGGACGACGAGGAAGGCAGTGGGACTTGGGTGGGGCCTGAGCTGCGGGCTCTGGTCTTGCCCAAAGGAGCCTGCGTGCTTTGCATTTTAATCTCTGCATCTGCTGTCCGTCTGCGGTGGTTGCTGTTACTGTTTTTGTCACTACTTGCAGGTGATGAGTGTCCACCTTTCTTGGATGAATGAGAAACTTTTTTTTTGGGAGGAGAAAGGGGCTTTTTGGGACAGCTGAAAGCAGCATGTTTATTCAGGCTTCCAATGTATGTGAACTCTCGATTACAGTAAGGGCAGATGTGAGAAGATGACTCAGAAGCATTTTTCAAGTCAGCCTTCTGCTTTGCAGATTTGTTTTTTTGAAGGATTGCTTTCTGTACAAGCTGATTTTTTTTCTTCAATGCATTTAATTTAAGCTTATTCGATGACATTTTGCTAAGCTCAACACTAAAGTTCAGCCTTTTGGGCTGTCCCATTCGCCGGAAGGCATTTTTCCCAGAGTTATCTAAAACCACCACACCATTTTTGGGTTGTACAGTTTGTTTCAACGGTACTGGATTTTTCTTAGGAGTATACCTCTTCTTGTCACTTGCAGAAGCACATGCCAGGATATGTTTGTGTAACTCAGGCATGTTGTCAACACCTTTTCCACATTTTGTGCAGCGAATGGCAGTAGTAAAAGTCTGTGGAATATTGTGCGTAGTGAAATTTGTGGCTGTCACACCGATACCCATGGGATTTCGGTGATGGTACTGAAATGGAGGTGGCTTAAAGCTTGGGTAATGCTGATTAAGACCCAATCGAACATCTGGATCTTTTGTCTTTATTCCAGAAGCCATTATTTTTATGGTTGTATAAAGCTCTTCAGAGGAATCATTTAACTCTTCCTCTTCTTTAGAAGTTTCTACTGGATCTTCTGGCAAACTCTGCATATGCTCTATATGGGCCTTGCTGGGATCTGTGAAGTTCTGGGGCCTCAGAGTCCCACTTTCAAACTCGTGGTGTGTGCACACCTTATCTGGGTGGAGATCTCGCTGGTGCTGCTGCAAATTGCACAAAAAAGCAAATTCTTTTTTACAAACAGAACACACAAAGATATTTCCAACTCCATGAAGCAAAAAGCGATGCTCTGACAAATCAGTTTTATCCTTAAAAAGCTGTACACAAAATTCACATTTGAAGGGCCATTCTTCAGCATGAACAGATAAATGTTTGGTTAGATCTTTAATGGAAAGAAAAGGTGATTCACAGACATTGCAAACAAAGTTTTTGTTGAATGTTTCCTGAACGATATCCTGTTCAACAGCAGACTGGGGTTCTTCCCTGGGTTTCAGATCTTCATTCTCTAATTCCTCCGGTTTGAAAGACATCATGGGGAGAGAAGTCTCCAGATTATCACCAGAGGAAACTACAGATGATACTGCAGAAAGAGGAGGCGGAGAAGGGGAAGAGGAGGACGAGGAAGAGAATGAAGAGGAAGATGAGGAGGAGGAGGAAGAAGAAAGTGTTGGAGGCCCCGGTGAAGCAGCAGACATAAGAGGCTCCACAGGGGGAATGGGAGAGGGAGAGGGAGATACCGTAGGGGACAGAATTGGGAGTGGGGACTGTGCGGTGGCATTCGAGAGTGGCGAGGGACATGGATGAGGAGATGTGCCGGAAGAGGGGGCTGGAGGAGGTATGGTAGGAAGGAGGGGAGGAGGCGGAGTGGCAACAGTTAATACCGGAGGACAGGGTGGAGGAGAAGAGGGATCTGTGGGGACCAAGAGAGGAGGCAGCTGACTGGAAGAATGGGAAGACGGCTGCAGGGCAGGTGATGAAGGACGAACACCAGGGGAGGACTCAGCAGTCGGGGCAGGGAAGCCAGAGTCAGGGCCAAGGTCAGGATCTGGCTGGGCTTCTAGGGACTTGCAAGGACTTGGGCTCCTGGCCACATCTGCAGTGTTTTCTACAGGTAAATCAACGCCATTATATTCATTGAGAAGAACCTTCTGTAGCATGCGCGTGGTTGGTTTCTTTTTCTTTACAGCACTACAGGCTGACTGTACTGAATGATTTTCTTTAAATTCCTTCCCTTCGGAGTCACTACAAGGCTTTTTATGCACACTGAGATCTAATACAGATTCCCACTGGACCAGAGTCTTGCCTGTACCCTCACCCTTCTGTTTGACACCACTGGATAAATCCAGCGGCTGTTGGTTGCATACATTGCTAAAACTAGAACTGGCTGTCCACTCTTTAGATATTTTATATTCATCAAAGCACGAAGGGCTCACAGTTTCTCTCTCATCTCTCCCAGACATACTCCAGGCTGGTGAGTCACTGTGACTTTCTAATTTGGGTTTCTTGGAAGTCAGAACCGAATCGGTCCATGCTGCTTTCCCATCACTTGGCTTCCCAAAGTCTCGAAGGGCAGGACTGTGCTGTGGAGAACTGGGGGGAGAGGTGGTTCGCCTCTTGAACCTACTGGAGGTCACAGGTAACATGGATGCAGGAGCAGACACACAAACAGGACCTAATTTAGGTATTTCAGTTGCTGAAATCCCTGCAGGAGGAGTTAGTTTATCCTGGGTTTGAAGAAGCTGTTTGAGCTGTGATGACAAATAAACACTTTTCTCTTTATGGAAAGACACTGTCTCTGTCGTTGATATGCTTAGAGGCAGACTTAAGGAACACGAGGGGGCCACGGGGTCAGAATCTGTTTCAGCTTTAATTCTGGGTAGCACGGGTGGACTAGTAGTTCTCCGTTTCTTAGACTCACTGTTTGTGCTGCTGGAAGGTTCTTTAGGAAGATCATCTGTTATAGAGACCTGTGTGGTCTTTATATTTTGAGTAATTTCCACTGTAACTGGAGTGAGCAGACAATTTATACCATACAAATCTGCCGAATTAGATTCCATCTCAATCACGTCACAGCTACTGGTGGTATTGTTAGTTTGAATTTTACCATCAATATAGTAATTTAAGTTCTCAGAGATATTGCTAGAAATGTCCATGATGTACACGTCATCTGCTTCCCCCTCTTCCTCTGGCTCTGTGCTGGGGACGTAGACATTCTGGGTGGGCTGGGCCTGCTCTACCGGAGGCTGCAGCTCTTCAAGGCCTCCTTTTCGCCGTACACCTTTGGGAATCAGATGGCGTTCATGAACTCTACGCTGATGCCGTCGCATATTAGTATGAGTTCCAAAAACCTTTTTACAGTATTTGCATGGATGAAGTTCTTTAACTTCCCCATTCTCTTCTAAAATAGAAGAATTTACCGTTTCTTGGGAAGCTTTCTCTGAACTCACAATCAGACAGTCTTGCCCAAGATTGGGAGGATTCAATTCATCTTTCTGAGTAACATTTTCTCCAGATACTTTGCCTTCAGCTGGGTCCTCTGATGGCTGCAGTGTCAGGCTGGGTTTTCGCTTTAACCCTGCTTCGTGGCGCCGCTCATGCCGCCTCCTGTTAATCTGTGTGCCAAAAGCTTTCCCACAGTACTTGCATTTGAAAGCGTGATTGACCGTAGATATGTGGATGTGCATGTGACGCTCCAGCCCCTGCTTGGTTGTAAACTTCCTTTCACAGTGCTGGCAAGGAAACATAAATGTTTCAAATACATCACCATTGGCCTCTTCCTTAGTTTTAGGGATTTTGATAACAGGTGTTACTTCTGGAGAGTCTTCAAGAACTTCTTTTGAAATATTTTTTGGTTCTTCTAATAAATCTTCTGGTTTCTCATCACATCGTATTTCTGGCTCTTTTACAGAATTTTCACATGGCATGTCAGCTTCCTCCTCCCCGTCTTCTTCCAACTCATCTTCATCATCTTCTTCTTCTTCCTCCTCCTCCTCTCCCTCCTCCTCCTCCTCTTCCTCCAAATCATTCACCTCACAGTTTGTTGCTTCTAATTTCTCGTCTGGTTCTGGTTGCAGCTCGCAGGCAGGGGGAGGGGTTACCAGTTCTGGCAGCACATCCTGACCAGCCACCTCCTGAAGATCGGCTGGCTGCTCAAGTGCCAAAGCTGAAGGCTTCTCCTCCTCTTCTTTAAGACCTAGAAAGCACACGGAAGCAGAAGCATAGAAGTGAAGCATGGAAAACCAGCCACCCTGTGATCAACTCGTATGATTCAAGTTATTTCTCTTATACCTAAAATGTATAAGGGAGATTACGATTTACAATAAATCACTTCTACTTTATATACTTCATTTATAGAGCTGTACTGGATACAAATCCATTTCATCCACCCATTTGTTCAACAAGAATTTGCAGAGTATCTGCTACCTTCCAGGCAACGTTCTGGGCAGTGAGGATAGGCACATGAACACAACAGACAAGAATGCCCACATGGAGCTTAGATTCTTTTCTGTGTTCAGTCACACATATGTACACCTTTGTTTATAAAAACTATAGTGTTTAAATTGTGTTGGAGTAGCTGATAGGAAATTTCAGGAGAGTAAATTCCAGTTTTTCATGAAACTGCAACAAGTTAATTGCTCAACACATCACCAGATTAGACTCTTAGTAGTCTGTCTTGAGTGGACAATCCTCTTTCTCTCTCCTTTCTGACTTAAATTCTATGTTTACAAACCAGAACATTTTCCAGAATTGTGTAATTCGAGTTTGTCAAGTCAAAGACACTTCACTGATCATCTCTTCTAAGCCTTACCAAGTTATTAAGAGCTCAGGAGCACCTCATTGAAGGCAACAGAAATGTGAGGTAACTTCTGGGTTTCTATGCCTAGTCCACCTGAGGCAGGTGGTAGAAAATGGTCAGAGAAGGGCTCACTGGCAAGGTGACAGTGGAGCAGAGACCTAAAGAAAACAAGCCATGCAAATAACTGGGGGAGGAACCCATCACTGACAAATGCAAAAGCACTGAGCCAAGAACATGCTAGATGTGATGAAGAAACAGCAAGGAAGTCAGTAAGTGGGGGGTTGTTCAGGGTGGGGGGCAGCGAGAAGAGCAGGGGAAAGGGCAGAAGATGAGAACAGAGAGGTAACCAGGAACCTGCTCACGCAAGACCTTGTAGGCTATTGGCTTTTACTCTGAGTGAAATGGAGCTACCAGACAGTTCTGACAGAAAAGTATGGAATGGTCTGACTTATATTCAAGAGAATCACTGATTGCTATGAGAAAGAAGACCCTAGATGGACAATAGAGGGGCTAATGCATCTTCTAGGAGGAAGGCAGGACAGTCACATAAGAGTGGCAGTAGGGCTGGGGTAGAAGTGGTCAGGCTCTGGATGTATTTTGGAGATGACAATGACAAAATGTACTTCTTGACTGGCTGTAGTTAGAGAGAAAGAAGAGCCAAGGAGGAGTCCTCACAACTGCAGTAATACTATTGACTGCACAGTAGATGACTACTGGAGAAGCAGGTTTGGTTTGTGTGCACGTGTGTGTGTGGGGTGGGGGGAGATCAAGGTTACTTTGGACGTGCTGAAGTTGAAGGTACCTGATAGGTTCAAGTGAAGATATCAAGCAGATAGCTTCCCATGAAGCTCGAGTTCAACAAACAGTATGAGCCTAGAGATGTCAAGATCTTCAGGCTAGAGAAGGTATTTAAAACACTGGACTGGATGAGGTCACCTAAAAAGTGAATGCAGACAGAAGAGGGACAAGGGGACTATGTCCAGATGACTCCATACTGAGAGGTTAGGGGAATGGCCAGGGAGGCACCCAGAGAACCAAGAGTGGTGTGGCCCTCAGGCTAAGTAAAGAAACAACTTCAAGGAAGGAAAGGTCTACTGTGTCCAGAACTACTGATGGACTGGGTCAGATGTAGCTAAGAATGGAACATTCCATTTACAAAGATGGAGGTCTCGTGATCGTGACAACAGTTTTAGTGGAGAAGTGGGGACAAAATGCTTAACAGAGTTCCTAAGGAGAATTAAAGGAGGCAGGAGAAACAGGGAGACTGTTAGTAACTCTTTCAAGGTCTGTTGTAAAGGAAAAGAGGGAAATAGGGTTGGAGTAGAAGGAAACACAGGGACAATAGGTGACTCTTAGAGACAGGAGCTGTAACAGCAGGTTTAATGCTGATGGGGATGGTCCATGATGCTGCTTTCCCTACAGCACCACCTGCTACACTGCTGAAATGGGCTCTTACCTGCAGATACTTGCAGAGCTAAGACAGGCGCCATAGAGGAGGCAGAGCTACGCTGACGTCTCCAGGCTATGTTATCTGGATGTTTCCCCATCACTAGATAAACATTTACTGAGCACCCTCTATATGCCAGTACTAGGTAAACAAGACTGTCAAGGGCCTTACCCATATAGAGCTTCACTTTAATGGAGGCCACAAACAAGCAAGCAGGCAACGTATTCAAGTAACATAATGGCTGTGCTCATGGGAGTGAGTGTGGTACAGAAGCACACAGCAGGGGCATCCAATGGGACTTGGCTAATCAGGCGAGGCTTCTTAGAGAACTACACAGGCTGAACCTAAAGGACTTAAGAATCGAGCACGGAAGAGGAAAAAGCAAGCAGGGAGGAATCAAAACACAGAGAACACTGTAAATTAGTGTGGACTATCTGGGGGCAAAGGGGATCCATCAAGGTATTTGAAAACAGGAGAATTCCATTTTGGAGATTCAGCTGCAAGATGAGTTAAGGGATGGGGAGGACATTACTGGAGACCAAGGAACAAGACTGGTAGAATGATGATAACAGAATGGAGATGCTGGCAGAAAATGCTAAGCAGAAAATGGAAAGCAGCAGTAAAGGCAAAAAAGGGGCCAGACTTTCGTGATACAAGAGACCTGTTGCTGGATGTGGGGACTACTTGGATACAGTAGAAAAAAGGGTTTCAATGCAAGGTATTAATACAAGTTCAATTACTTGGTCCTCGCCCTCTTGCTATTTCCCAGGAATATCAGCCTTACTTTTTCCCATCTGCTACTACATTTACCAGCAATGAGGTTTCTGCTTCTAAATAGAAACCAGCCTTCTCCCCCTAGACAAATTTCATAAATTCCACAGGCTTTTCCACAAACAGGGAAACCAGTCATTTGATGGTGATAATATACTGTAAATTAGGAACTAGCTCTCTTTTCAAATACATTTTCAAAAAGACCCAGAATGTTGCCCAAAAAAGTCAAAATGAGACAACAGAAAATGCCTCTCTGAGGTTCGGAAATTTCTTCATAGAGTTCATGTTGAATCAAAATCTGTGGCTTCTTTTGATGGGGGGAAAATGTTTTTTTCCTGTGACTGGTAAACAATCCCAGATTTAAAACTGTCTAAAGTAATATGAACCTAAATATGCACAGCTCCATTAACTAAAAAAGTCCATGCCAAAGTGTGTACACATTTGATACAGTCTGTCAAGTTTTAAATTTAAAAGGAGGTTTGGGGACCACAAAGATGAGTCTGAATCATTTACTCATTATATAGACTATTTGCTGGAACAAGGCAGAACATTCAGGGAGGCCTGTGAATACACTGCACAGAACCGGCCTCACTTTGACCAGCCATACCACAAACTGGGAAGTAAGCGGCAAATGTCTTTTTTCATGGGATCTAATGTTTTATCAGGGAAAAAAATACTGTCTGAACTACTGAAGAGGAGGAGGAGCCTATTGGATTTGTTTTTCAATTCTGCCACCAAAGGTAGTGAGGTTACTTAGTAATTTTTGTTGTTCAAACAAATGTCTCAGCAAATCTGTTACTAAGAGGCAGAACTTAGTTTTATAAGGCTCTGGGAAATTAACTCATCTATTCTTGCCTCAAAGAACAAAATAAAAAATTACAATCCTTTATGAATGCTATCACTACAAACAGTGCTAATGAAATGGTTACAAAAGGCACCTAAACTATTTTGGGTTTCTCTACAAATGTTTCTTGAAAGAGTCACAAGCCTGTATTCTGAAATTTGCCTATTGGGGTCACTATAAACAACTCTTGAGCAAGTCCCAGTCTCTACATAAACGTGCCCGTCACAAATTAAGACACACCTCCCTCATCTCTGTATCGATAGTGGCAATATGGCGGCCCCACTGCAATGACCACAGGGCAAGCTGTCTTTTTGATTAACTTTCAATCCATGCCTCTCTGTGAATTCTTACATCATGGAAGGCCTAGATTATTAATCCTCAGAGGAACTATAAAGAAGAAAATTTTATAGGGAAAAACACAAAGAGACAAAATAAGAATTTAAATTAAAAAAAAAAAATTTTCATTCTGTTATATAAAATCAAAGGTTTTTAATATTTTTAAGTAAATGTTTCATTGAAGTGTAAAACACACATATATTAAAGTGTATAAATCATAAGTATATAGCAAGATAAAATTTTTACTAAGGAAATACACCGTGTGACCACCCCACAGAGCAGTGATGGGACACTACCAGGACCCCAGAAGCCTCCTCACAGCCCTGCCAGTCTGACTTCTATCACCATAGATTTGTTTTCATGATTTTGAACTTTGTATTATTTATAATTATAATCATATAGTATGTTTCATTTTATTTTAACGAGAACAATTTCATTTTTAACAAGGATTTTTATAATTAACAAGGATTTTGATTAATTTTTTGAAGAGAGAGTAGGATATGGAAGGCTCAGTTCACCATATTAAATTTAGGCAGTTTTACTGTTTAACCCCTTTACAATTCCTGAAAATGATTTTCAGAAGGGCAATAGGAAGAGACACAAAGTAAAATTAACTGGTACATACATACCCACATCAGACCAGTCCAATATCACAAGCTTACCTTCCGCAGAATCTCTCATATTTGCAAAGGTGGAATCTGGCTCACTTGTCTTCAGGTGTATGTCTTGGGTTTTGTTTCCTTTGTTTTTATTTTCCTGGGATTTTTTCTTCCCTGAAACACAATATTTATTTATTCGTTTACTTGTTATTCTAAATTTAGATGACAATTATTAATCCAATCACAGAAAATTGCATATTTCTAGGTGGTTATCACTTTGGATTCCTAAAGAAAGAAATGGATGATGAATATAAATACTTTTAAGTCATGAAAGAGAAAAAAACCATAAATCCTGTATTTTTGAGAATCTTGGGCATTAGTTTCCTTGATAGCTGTTAACAGTGATCAAATTAACAGATACTATATTCTCAAAAAAATAATGCTGATATAAAAGGAAAATCAGTAACAGCACTGTCTTTCAATACCACACAAATATTAGAGACTGGTAGAAGTCTGGTTATCTGTAAGAAATATATTAGAGAAAAACAATATGGTGTAACTTTTAGTTAAGATATGATTAGCCACAATTGTCAGAAGTAAAATAAGAGCAGCAGAGATTCCACTGGATTACAAGGGATACACATTCACAATGGCTCAAATATCAAATGCAGAGTAATTATGAATAATTCACTGCCCACCAGCACAGCACTCAGAGCGTCCTGAGGGATTTGACACTAGGTCCAGTACAGTTCGATATTTCAGTAACAATTCAGAGCACGGAATTCAGGAAGCACTAGCTGCATTTCAAGTGATACAATATTTTAGAAGATTAAAATGCAACATATTTCTGATAAGCTGTAACAATGAACTGAAGTCATGAAGAGATTCAATAAAGATAAATGATTCTCCATAGAAGTACTAATACTGAAGGTTCAGAAGCTCAGAGTCTTTAGGATTTAACCAAAAATTGTAACCCTTCTTTTCCACCTTTTAATTTCCAGATATCCTTTTCCCAGTAGCCGGTGCTTTTCAGTCTTCAGATCCAGGGAGGTTCCTATTCCTCTTCCCTGTATACTCCTCTTTCTGCACTGCTCCCCCCAAACAGGACTCCACCAGCTTCCAGAGCTACAAGCCTCTGCCACCTTTACCTCGTCATTAGTGAAACGACAAAGTAGAAACCACTTAAAGCTTCTGAACACATAGAATCACTACAGAGGAAGCACAGTTAGCTAAAATGTAGACAACAGATAAAAATGAGGTTAGAGACACAAAATAGCATCATGGAAAAGATCAGAGATTAAAAGTGGAAACATCAATTACAATACAAACATTAATCCTAAAAAACACCACCTGATTTTGATAAAAATTTAAGAGATGCAACAAAAAGAATACAAAATGCTTAGCATTTAGTTTTAAAAAGCAAATTCTAAAATACCATTTTAAGCACGTAATTCTTTAGGCTCTAAGAAAACAGAAGATATTTTTTGTACCTATGTATGTAAGGGTTCACCCAAGCAAATTCCTGATAACATGTCTACCTGTTTCTTTCCAAAGGCAGTTTGGAACTGAGGACACAAGCACATGCACTCACTGGAACCACATTCTGGTGGGAATAGAAGTCAAGGGTCTGTGTGGAGGCGGGTGACTCATGCCTGTCTCCAGGTAAAGAATTATGAACCAATCACCCTGTGAGGGGCACGTGCATCTAAGCACCTTTCCTCATGAGTAAACTCCTCTTAGGCTACTTTCTCCCTTTGTCAACTTAACAGCACTTATCCTAAATCTGATGACCACTAAAGCTCTTCAGGGGTCCTGTTTTGTTTAAAGGCATTTGGATTCTACCTCCTTTCAACCAGTTTTTATGCCCAGTATGACATAAGGCCTTGCTGTATGTGTTATGCTCCGTACTTATAGTACTGATACCCAACAAAATGCTTATCACCCACATGCACAATGCAAATATAAAAGGCAACCTGCCTACATAACATAGCACAACTGCTGCAGTGCTGCAGTTGATGCCTAAGGAAATCCACAGCTTCTTTTATTACCATGTGAAGGGCTCTTGGCATATCCCTCAGACATTTGATTCAAAAGTTATATTCTGGGGCTTATAATCCTAGCATTTTGGGAGGCCTAGGAGAATCGCTTGAGGTCAAGAAGTTTTAGACCAGCCTGAGCAAGAGCAAGATCCCATCTCTACAAAAAACAGAAAAACTTGCCAGGTGTGGTGGCGCATGCCTGTAGTCCCAGCTACTGGGGAAGCTGAGGCAGGAGGATCGCTTGAACCTAGGAGTTTGAGGTTGCAGTGAGCTATGATGATGCCACTGCACTCTAACTCAGACAACACACACAGTAAGACCCTGTTGGAAGGGAGGGAAGTCAATGTGTTGTAATATGATCACTTACAAAAGAAATTCAAAGATTTTCTGCAACCTCTCAAATACTGTACAAACCCAGTTAGTAGGTCATATAAAAAACAAAGTACACTAGACTTTATGTAAATAGAATATTGAATAAGTGAAATTCTACATTTATATCATAAAACAAAGTATAATTTTAATAATACCATCAAGATGCACTCAAAATGAATTCACATAACTATCCAGAAGGTAAAGTGCTTTTTAAAGGTTTATTCCCTGCCTAAAACAACATTAGAACACCTGGCTAACACCAAATGTCAAATGTCCATTTTGCACTCCTAAAACTTAATCAGTAAGAAGTTACTTTTCTTACCCTAGGTGTCCTCATTAAAAGCCAAGGCCAAGAAACCCTATTCCACTGTGAAGAGAAGCCACTTGCAGTAGGTACATCTCCTGTACCCTATTCAGAGGACTAACGAGATTGTCCCTCAACAGAGGGCTGTGGCGTTCCAGGGAGTCTCAACCCCAGCATGCATGGCATTCCGGGCCATAAAATTCCGCTGTGGAGGGCTGTCCCTCACGAGAGGATGTTTAGCAGCACCTGTGGCCTCTACCCACTAGATGCTAGTAGCACCCCTCTTCTAGTTGTGACAGCCCAAAGTCTCCAGATACAGCCAAATGTCCCCTGGGGAGGAACTCTCCCCAGGATAAGAACCACTGGGCTAGACCAATGTATTTCTGGGTCACTAAAGACATGTGGGATTATCTATATATTTGTTTAAAATAACAAAAAAGTACTTGAATAACACTAATAAACCAATTCTAAAAACGGAGAAATGAACAATTAAATTTACCAAAGTAACTCTGGTGAACTGTGACAGACTTAGTTTATGACAGAAATGAAGCTATCATGACCATCAGTCATTCATGGAATTGAGATTATCTGACAGATGAGAAACAATGTTCTCAATCTTAGCCAGAACCATCATCTATCAAGTTACTATTCATGACCCTTAGACTAGAGATGAAGGGACTATCAAAATCACCCGTCCTGCCTGCTGTTTTGTGGGCGATACTGAAGGCCAGGGCCATGGAGAACCAATGAATCTACGATAGAGCAGAAATTAGAACCAAGAGGTCCCTGCCCACATTTCCACATGCTTACTATCACTCAGAACTGCCAAATATTGCAACAACAGGTGGTGGAAGTGGCTACATTTCCTTAAATTAGTGCAGTGTTTTCCTGATACGTGATTTGTGCCCTTTTTGCCATCAAATTAAAAGAAAAACAGAAGCAAACCTATAAGGACTTTTATAAAGTGGGCTTCTATCTGTGAGGCAAGAACAGCATGAAGTGGGAGCCACTGGGAGCCTGGTAAGCACATGAGTGCACTTACCATCGGGTTCCTGAGGGTCCTACATGGCGCTACTGCCAGCTGGCTGCTCCGCTTGGTCTAGACAAGAAAGACAGGAATGAAACACGAGGAAAGTGAAATGGAAATGACGACAAAGAACAGCATGAGGGAGAGGACAAAACTTTATGTACACGAGGAAAAGAGATGCACACAACAAGATGAGAAATTGAATGCAACAGAAGGAAAACCATTATCTACTACATCATGGTGCTCACATAGCAAAGAAATTATTAATTTTTAACTGTGTACTTAGTTGCTGAGAGTAAGACCAATGTAGTATATACTCATTCTCAGGCCTGTACCGTGCCCATGTTATAGAACTGATGGCCTTACTACTTATGGACCATTCTGCCAGAAGACCCCAAAATCCCAATATATGCCTCTCATTTTCAGGGGAGACACTCAAGGACCAGAAATGTGAAGTAACATGCTCAAGGACGTATCCACATTAGCTATAGAGCCAGAATTAGAAATCAAGGTGATAACACTAAAAATGCGTTCTTCTACAGTTATTTCTTAACACCAATAATAGCTTAATAATCGTACCTTATTTTTTAAAAGCACTTTACATGCATTATTTCACTTGGTTTCAAGGGCAAATAAAAAAAAAGTTGTATAAACACTTGTGCTGCATTTTATAGTAAAGGAGCAACAATCAAATTGGAATGCATTTTTTCCAATTCTATTTTATCTTATGCCAGAAACAGTATCAGTCAACAGCACAGAACTCCAATCTGAACAAATATGATTCACCACTGAATAATATCACTAAAATTGGATTTTCTAGTGAAATAGCTACCATAGAGAGACATTCAACAACCACAATGACTACTTTCTAAGACAATGTATAGCATTATACTGCTCGTGCCTGGGATGCCAGTTGCAAAATCAAAACTGCCTAAAGCATCACATGAATAATTTAACCTAGGTCTAGACTATGTTCTACTATCCTAATAAACTGGACAAACACTAGGAAATGCTAGAGAATAACGTTTCACTTAAAAATGTTCAGGCATCAGAGAGAATGCAAAATTCTAGAAGGCTTGCTGAAGTTACATTAAAAATTCATCACGAGAGTGAAGGCTCGGGCATTTGGCGATTTAAAAATTAAATTTAGAACTCTATGTAACTCCACATGTGCTGCCTCCTCACTGTGGAGCTATCCAACTCTGAAGTATAAAATCAGAATTAAACATCAGTGTACAGAAGTCAGGGTCATCCAATCTTCATTTGGGGAGCTCACCATTGTACTCAGATACACAGTTGACTCCAAATCAGTGTAGCCTCCATCTGGGAGAGCTGTACAACTATACCACAGAAGGTCACCAAGGACAGGAGCTACCCTAAACAAGATCAACACCAACTCATTAGAGGGCCAACTGTGCCTGCTGCCTCCAGT